ATGTTTGTTTTTTGGTCCCCATGAAGAAAACAGTTTATAAATCACACAAATTAATTTTTTTCATAAAGTCAAAAGTTTTCTTTGAAGGTTGTGTTTAGGGGTAGAATTAGGGGATAGAATGTATAGTTTGTGGTACAGTATAAAAATCATTATGACTATGGAGTTTCGCTAAAAACCATGAAAACCAATTGTGTGTGTGTGTGTGTGTGTGCATGTGTAAAACACTATGGTAAAATCATTATTTAAAAAATATGCTGTCAACTTTTAGCCCTGACCACTAGATCACATGGCAACTAAAATCACAGCAGTTTTGTTTTGTATTGTATTATGATGGTGAACATGAATATTTGCGTAACTCTCACAAACATAGCAACAAGAATAAAAAAAGTAAAATAGAAGCAGAAACATTACCCAGAATCACTATGACTATTGCTCATATAGTCTTGTGATTTGACCAAAAATCAGACGATCATGCAGTTTATTTAGGAAAGCTGAGTTGTTTGTTTTTTGGTCCCCATGAAGAAAACAGTTTATAAATCACACAAATTTATTTTTTTCATAAAGTCAAAAGTTTTCTTTGAAGGTTGTGTTTAGGGGTAGAATTAGGGGATAGAATGTATAGTTTGTGGTACAGTATAAAAATCATTATGACTATGGAGTTTCGCTAAAAACCATGAAAACCAATTGTGTGTGTGTGTGTGTGTGCATGTGTAAAACACTATGGTAAAATCATTATTTAAAAAATATGCTGTCAACTTTTAGCCCTGACCACTAGATCACATGGCAACTAAAATCACAGCAGTTTTGTTTTGTATTGTATTATGATGGTGAACATGAATATTTGCGTAACTCTCACAAACATAGCAACAAGAATAAAAAAAGTAAAATAGAAGCAGAAACATTACCCAGAATCACTATGACTATTGCTCATATAGTCTTGTGATTTGACCAAAAATCAGACGATCATGCAGTTTATTTAGGAAAGCTGAGCTATTACTTTTGTAAGTGATTAGACTTGTTGGGTCAAGAGATTGGCAAAAGAGAGAATTTTTTTTTTTTTTTTTGGTGGACAATAAAACAAAACAAAACAAAACAAAAAATCCCATTGACCGAAGCTATGTCTGGAGAACATAATATCATAGAAACTTGTAGACTTCTCTTCGATCTCCACCCTGTGATGATTGAGATTTTTGCTCTTGCATTTCTTTTCATTTTTCCCCCCGTTTGACTCATCATTGCACCATTCCAGCATTGTACTGCGGCCTAGAGTCTGACAACTTCCTGCTGATCTTGCCAAGGCAACAACATCAACATCAACAAACACTGGCTGGCTGACTGCTATGTGTCAGCATAGAAAAAAGGATCTTTATCCACCTTTTTCTTGTCGTAAAATAACTCTAAATTCTATGGGTCTGGCTTCCGGTCTCATCTGCCTCCACTCCGTCCAGCTATTTTTAGCTGAACAAAACAGTTCGTTTTGCTGCTTGATATTGAAAGTTTGTGTGTCTTATATTATTTTAATGTATTATCTTAATTATGAACACACTGGTTTGTAGTGCAAACAGTTTTACTGTTTACTGCATGTTGTTATTCTCCTCGTTATTTACCTATATCACCTAATGAACCGGAAGTCTCACCCATAGGCTTACTTCCACATTGAAGAAAAAGGTGGATAAGATCAATTAACAATAGAGGCCCAAACTGCTTAACCAGGCATGTGTGTCTGCTTTACTGGAATCTAACAGTAGAGACCGTTTCAACACTATATATAACACTTATATAAATATTATTCCCAGACACCTCCAAAGCTGACCTCTACTTAACTATCTGACTCTTTTCTACCCTCAAATGCAAAAGAATGAGTAAAATGCAGCAATGTATTTATTATAATTGTTAAAGCAACTTTTTAAACAGTTCTATGAAATGCCATCTAAGTGAATGAATTTGCAAAAATGAATCAGTATTGAGGCGTATTACAGAGAGTTTCTTATCTTAGGTCTTAACTTAAGATATGTTAAATAAGGATTTTTCGCAAATTCGTATTACAGCAAATCTTAACTTGATTTAGCATTCTTATCTTATATTACAAAATCGTATCTTAGTTAGGAAATCTTAAACCGCTCAATCAGGTCTGTTAACCAACTATACGCTATAAGTGGCTGCTGAGGTTAGCATAAAATCAAAATGGAGAAACAACGGTGTGCTTTTAACTTGCAGAATGACCGGTAGTGCTCCGTAACGGCTCATGGGCCTCTGTAATGTTGGTCACAGTTGGTCAACTATATATACTGTATATAGGCTCTATGCATTTCTTTTTATAAGGTTATATGTCTGTCTATATGTAGCACTGTGGTCCTGTGAGGCACGACATTTGTACATCTGCATATATACCGGAATGACAATAAAGCTCACTTGAACTAGAAATAACTGTAAAATCATGTGTGGTGGGAGTCTGTAATTATTTATGAGTATTTTATTATCAAAGTGCAACACATCTTTTGGGTCCTTCCCAAAAAGTCTCTCCACCATCAAACTTCGCTTCTCTTCGTCTTGTATGATTAATAAATGTAATACAATTCTCGAAAAAGGGATAATGTATTGTGTTTTTTACGGTTGGGTTTCAAAAAGGTTTGAAGTTGGGACACCAGTGGGGTTATTCTAAAGTTAAGACCGTTTTAGGAATTTTTGGCGAGTTAGGATGCTTCTGTAATGCTGTTTTCCGATCTGTAGTTAAGATAACCCACTTTGGAAATGCTGTTCTGTAATAGCTTTTGTCCTAAATGTGGCCCAAACTGAAATTGTCATGCAACTGATAAGATAAGATTTTAAAGTTAGGATCTTTCTGTAATACACCCTGGTTCTTAAGTCCTTTTATTTCGTATGTTTCACTTATTACTATTCTCATTTCCAAAAGACCTCTGCAACAGTGTAACAACTGCTTCATGCCAAAATGTTGTGTATTGTTGCATTGTAGCCAACTAGCTGCCACCTGCCTTGTAAATTGGTGTAGGAACAACATAATTACAATACATTCCAAAGCACTGGCCCGCAGTACGGGACTGAGTAATTGGCATTTGTTGTGGGCACGGCACTTGGAGTCTGATGCCAGTTCAATCAGATGAAATGCCTTTATATACGTCTCTGCACTTGCTGTTTTGCTGAAAAAAAAAAGCTACAACAAAGACCAATGTCCGTGCACCAATTTCCACAATAAATTTAATATAGTTGTTTTTATGTAACTTTTAATGCAAACATGGAATTGTCAGTGAAATCACAAAAACAAATTGTTTGTTGAATAAAATCAAAGCATTAATTTGCTTTTAATTACATTTATTACTCTTCATGTAATGTGGAGGTGGTAGACTGGCTTATGAAGACAGTTATTAAAACTTATAAATAAAGATAGAACTTAAATACACTTAACATTCACGTACACAATACATGCATGGAGTGGAAAGCTTTGAAAGGAAAAATGGAAAATAGATAAAAGGACAAAACTACTCGGAATACCACAGGCATTTTTATAATGTCAAACACCACACAACTTCTGTCATTTTTCCATCAGGAAACCTTGTTTTGTTTACAGCTTCCAGGCTGCTACGATGAGCACACCAGAGGACGAGCTAGTCATTGACGAAGTATGCAAGGTTCATGGCATTGAATCTTTTTTTTATATATTGATAAGCTATCCAAAGTAAGAAACTGCTTGGTTTAGTTGGTCTGCTGGTTTAGTTGGTCTTCCAGTGGGGTGAAACTGGATTTTAGTTAATCAACCTAGTACCTTAGCATTGAAATATGTACTCTTTAGGCCCTGGTATACTTCAGGCAAAATCAAAGAATGATTTGGTGTGACGTCATTTTGAACAAAATAAGGCCAAAATGAAGTTCATTTGGATTTTGTTTATGGGGAGTTCGAAAGAGCTTGTGACAGTGAACTTTTTGGAAATGTTTTCTCCGGCTGTTAAACAGCTTTGTACTGCTAGCGGTCTATGGAAATTACTTAATAGGTAAGCGTGCACAAGGGCTCCGGTTTCTTTGACTAGAAAATCTTCTCCAGATCATTTCTTCTGTTGTTCAGATACGAGTAAAAACGTGATACACATTTTGCACATTTCTTTCTGAGAGTGTGTAGCCAACTTACTAATTAAGGTTTAGATTGGCCCGAAGATTTGTTACATGAATCTTTCCAAAGGGCAGCTGATGCCTTATTGCAGCTCTGTGATTCGTGTTGTAGAGGGTGTTAATAGGGTCACATGAGGCTGTGGAATGAAGGAGGACCCTGATACTGAATACTAAAACACTGATAAAACACTGAGTTGAACAGCCTTGAAAAGACTGGAAGAATCCAACCTTCCTGTGCCTTTGAAGGAGCATAACACAGGTTTCATATTCAGGGTCAAGAGATCGACAAAAGGACAGATGGACTAAGAAGAAAAACAAAGTTAATCCTGCACAATGAGACTTTTGGCATAACGTCTGGTCCTCTGTGTTTATGGGCAATCTTGTGGCCAGACTTGTAATTTTAGCCTTTAAACAGAACACCCACGGAAAGTCTCACCAATATGGCAAGCTCAAATCTGATTGGCTGACTTCATGCAACCTTCTCAAAACTCTTGCCACTTCAATATCCATTAGAACAGTCCGCTTGAGACTATGGAAATGCACTGTAAAATTCAAGATCTATTGATATTCTAAAATCAATATATGTATAAAGGTATGTTAGACTATCCCCATTAAAAACTGTTTCACACGTTATAGAGTATAAAGTCTCATTCACACCAAGAACGTTAACTATGGAATGCTGAAGGGATAATTTAATTTTGTAGGCCAACCCTGAAGTTAGCGTCACCCTGGTTTCACTATAGGATTTTTCCGTTGACTTTTGTATTATTGCAGAGAATAAGCCCCGTGACCTACAAAAGTTTACTATACTTGTACGTTTTGTTAAAGAAAATCTTCAGATGAACACAACTTTTCAAATACAATTGCCACAAGTTAAAAGGTATAGTTAGGCTGTAAACAAACTACACCACTGTCACATGACTTCAATGTCAAGCTTCCACCAGCTCTATCAATCTTTATTTAAAATCTGCAAGTTAAAATGTTTGAGTTAAAATAGTTTTCAAGAGTGGGATTATAAACACAATGAGGATATAAAAGCGGACTAGTGAGTAGATGAGTCTTCCTTTTGACCATGATGATGTTTAATGTCTCAGACAACCTCTATAATCCCAGTTAGCAAACACCTTTTTCATGACACATAAACTATATATTTTTTAAAAATCACAATTGATGTAATACTGATGTATTTTCTGCCAGAGAATAAAATGTTAAAACATTTTGATAAGCCCACTCAAATGGATGTGATAACCTGTTTCTGGGTTTCAGGACTCATTGCTCATTGCTGCAGTACTCTGTAATGATGTCTATATTAGCATCCACACCATTGGATAATAATTTTATGCTTTTTATTATACAGTAATTATGCAGTGCTTTAAATACTAGAGTTCTTTAAAGTTGGTGGTTTCTGATTGGCTGGCAGTGTTATTGTTTGTCAGCTGAAAATAGAATTGTTCCTTTGTGTTATCATTATCATTATTAAAGTTGTGGTGTGGACTCCACTATTCTCTTTGAACTAGAATGTTTTTTTATTTATACCTATAGTTATCATCCTTAGAGTGAACAGGCCTTAATGCTCTACTTTGAACCTTTTTGATGCCCTCATAGCAGACAGTGATAGTGAGCCTTCTGTCTTCTGATGCAGTTGCACCAATTTTTATCCCTTCAGTTCAGTTAACAGATGGATATCAACACACTCTTATTTACACATAAGTAGCTTTCTTTGCTTTGTTGCAAGATTCAAAGTTTATTTCAGAAGTATATTCTAGCAGAGGTGTATGTGCCAGCAAGAAAAGGCGGATGTTTAAAAACTTCTCACGTACGTGAAAGAATCCAAAGTTTTCAATGATCCAGTGAGGAACTGATATTGTACCAGATCACCAGTTTGAAAGCTCTGTGTGTGTGCATGTGTCTGTGTGTTTTTTACACTAAAGGTACCCCATGATGGAAACAAAGGGATCAAGGTTTGGCTGGTTAGTGTGTTTCAGTTTGTTTGTGCATTATATATATGAACACTGCGATTGTGCTTAGATCTGCATGATTGATCTGAGACTGGCTGAGTGAGGTGGCCTCGTCTGAATGCACTTTGGTTGTGGTGAGATGGCAATTTGACCCAGCGAACCAAGCTGTATCCTAATTCATAATGGGAAATGTCTTTTAATGCCCTCCTACAAAACAGGTGCATTAAAGATGCTGTGTATATTCACACACACACACACACACACACATATACAGTGTATATATATATATATATATATATATATAGCAGGAATGAAGGCTCATATACATTTGTTAAGGCCTGTGTAATGACCGATAAAGCCACAGTAAGCCCGGGGAGCTAACTTGTAAATCCATCTTGATGGATGACGCTATGAGCGGAATCCCGGAACCTAAAGAGGTGCGCTTTGGCCAATGAGAGGACAGTTTTACTCACACGTGACTTGCATACAATTTTGTTAAGCTCTGGAACATTGCCTTGTGAAAGCGAACCAAGTGAACCAGGACAAAAATGCAACATTGTAACAATTGACGTTTTCAACAGTAATCAATTCCTCACCTGTAGATTGTTTGCTTTGAACTAAAACAGGGATTTCAAGGTATAGTTTGCCCAGAAATGAATTTTTTGTCATCATTTACTCACCCTCATGTTGTTCTAAACATATATGAATTTCTTTCTTCCGTTGAACAGAAAAGAAGATATTTTGAAGAATGTTGGTAACCAAACAGTTTCCGGTAGCCATTGACTTCTATAGTATGGAAGGAAAAACACTCAATGGCTATCAGCAACTGTTGGATTACCGACATTCTTCAAAATATCTTTGTGTTCAGGTCTGAAAACACACTTTGTCTCTCCAGGTATTATAGGCCTCTTTGACTGCAACAGGTTGCTGGTTTGAACAGTGTTTCAGCTTTCATCCAAAAACACCTCATGATGCAAACATGCCTGTCTGGCTCTGCAGGCCTGGCCAGATATGATTGCAGATATGATTGCCAGATATGATTGCTAAGAGTAACACACTCTCAAGTGTACATGCCTGAAAAACTTATTTCACCTTGTTGATGTTTTGTTCACATTTTACATACCTCAGCTTCTGTCTCTTACTGTATCTATTTCTCAGTTTCTCTTAGACAGTACATTTGTTTTTGCAGTGCTTTCAAAGGCTGACATCCTTAGTCTTGGTTTTTAAGTTTGTGTCACACGAGCTCACCAATTTCACATATCTTTACAATAGAACTTTCACCATTCTCTAAGATTAATGAACACAAGTAGAAATAAAAATGCATGTATAGGATTTTGGATTAAAAATGTAATTCTAATGTGGCCTATTTATTCATCCCAGCATCAATTAAGTCTTTCTCACATCTCGGTCCTCTTCTTTTTAGGAGGATGAAACTGAAGATGATGATGTAGAAGGAGAAGATGAGGAAATGTTATCCTGTAGTGCGACGGAAGATGAGGAGAGTCCTTACTCAAGCAGTGGGGCGGCACAGTTAGCTGCCCGCCTCCGTGCCACAGCACAACACTTCCTCAGGAACATGGGCCGCATCCAGGCCATCACACTACTAGCACTAGCTGGTAAGAGTCAGAGAACAGATTTAACAAATTTGGGCAATATAAACAAATTATAATTTATTTGCCTCGAGGCTTCGTTTAGTCCATTTACTGTAGCTACACATGGAACACCATGTTTCCCCACGGACCATTATTACTGACGGACAACCGGATAAAAGCTGGACCAGACCATAGACTGTATAAAAACAGGGACCAGACTTTAGTGATGCAAAGTCCAATTAATTTCCGCGAACCGGTACTTTTCGGACAGATCGGCTCATGGAACCGGTTCAAAAAGCAGATTCATCAGTTCCTGACGTCATCAACCAATAACGTCATACGCATTTCTTTTCTAACAACTCAGTGCCATGTTGTATCAATGGAAAATTCAAATAAGTCATTTGTGTCAACGCATATTGAAACATTCAAAAATAAAGTTATCTGTGTGAAAGCATATTGCTGATTATTGCCATATAATTCACTTAAAGGGATAGTTCACCCAAAAATGAAAATTTGATGTTTATCTGCTTACCCCCAGGACATCCAAGATGTAGGTGACTTTGTTTTTTCAGTAGAACAAAAATTATGATTTTTAAGTCCAGCCGTTGCAGTCTATCAGTCGTATAATGCATGGCAATGGTAACAAAATCTATGAGAGTAAAAAAAACATGCACAGACAAATCCAAATTAAACCCTGTGGCTCGTGATGACACATTGATGTCCCAAGACACGAAACGATCGGTTTGTGCTAGAAATCGAACAGTATTTATATAATTTTTTACCTCTAATAGAACACTATGTCCAACTTCCTTGAGCGCGCGCACGGCATCCAATGCGTGAGGTGTGTACGTGCGCTGGCGTTGTTTACGCAAGCGCAGGAAGTGATCTCTCGCGCGTATATGTCACTCATTGATTGCACAGTCATTGTAGGTACGACGGCTAATCAAAATGGTACTTACTTGCGCTTATCCGGATTGTTCAAACCGACTTAAAACTAAAAGATTACGTTCTCTCGCGTGAACTCTTTCGGGAGAGGAGACTTTCCACGTATATTCCCAACTTCTGAGCCTGCTCGCCTGAAGTTATGGTTGATTGTTCTTCGGCTGGATATCAACACACCCATTAACGTAAACTACGTTAACAGTGACTTGGGGCCACCTGCTGGTGGTATTAATTTCACATTTAAAGTATATTTTCGTTTATAAAATAATTTTAAATATCAGTATTCAATGTTTTATGTTTAAAATAACAAAATATTATTTATGCATTTGTAACTGCAGGTTAAATGCATTCATGTCCCTCTGTGTGGGAAATTCTGTGTGTTTCCTCTGCATTGCAAAGATGAATTTTGATACTGATATCATTTGTTTGGTAACAGCCCAAATGTCTTTTATTCTAATTGACTGATTAAATGTAAGAATTTGACTCAAAATATGATGCACACTTCTAGAAAAAAAGGCTTTATAAAGGTAAAAATGCCCATAAAATGTAAAAAAATCTATTTAATCTTATTGGAACAGATTAATTTCTATCACTGCTGTGAACTGACCCGCACACAGAATATGAAGGATATCAAAAACAAGTTTTACACACACACACACCAGTATGTATAGGGACATTTAAGAGGGTTTATTCTCGAAATAACTCTAATTTCATGTTGCAGAAAAATGTGTTTAAAAATTGTGCATGGTCTCTTGTTCTTGTTCCAAGTTACCTTCCTGTCCACTAATTTTTGCCTCTCACAAAAGCCACAAAGCTTTCCAAGAAGACAGTAAAGTCTTATGTCATGCTTGAGCTTTAGTTAGGCTGAAACTTGAAAGATAAGTTGGACGACATAAATTCAATGTTTAGGTATTATTGTTATTTTTATTACTATTATTTTGATTTATGCCTTGGTTTTAGTTTGTACTGTTTACCTTTTTTAAAGTACTGTGAAATTGTATTTGAAAATTTTGTATTTTTATTTATTTATTATATTGATGTAAGGGAAACAGGTCAATTTAGCTCAAAGGGAATCATTTAAGATTTTAAAGGGAATTTGGACAGAATCACTGTTTTACGGCTGATCACTGAGACGGCCAGCGATTCATTGAACGAGCCGTATAACATCAACTCTGCAATGGATATTAATATCCAAAGTATAGTGAAAACACTATTTATTAGCACAGTAACAAGATCGGCAGTTTAAGACATTAACTTGTAAGCACAAAACACAAGATACTTCTTTTTTCAATATAAATAAGGCTTTATTAGATAAATCTAAGACATACAAACGAGTCTAACACATGAACACACACATTCACACATTCACACAAGTTGCAGAAAGCGAGAAAGTAAGGAAAGAATGAGTTTAAGGAAATGAAAATGTGAAATCCCAAGTTTACAGCAATATGTGAAAATGCATAGACATGAACAGCCATCAATCACTTAATTAACCCTCGCATTGAGTTCCTCAATGAGGTTAAAATTATATTAAGTGCACCAGTTCAGCTAGAATCTGGAGGTACTTGCATTGCCTGTGTAAGGGATTCCCTTCCTTGTCTGTTTGCCGAAAGGGGTTTCCCGAGGTTGCTGATTGGCTGGAAGTTCAGTCTTGGGAAGCCAGTGGTTTGGCGTTGGCTGACGACGTGGAGTTATGAGCTGGTTGAAGTTTTAGATGGCACTCGAGGTCGGACTCGGAGACACGGTGTTAGGCAACTTAACTCAGAGCACGAAACTCTCAACGGAAAAGAAAAGAAGCTAAAGTAAAGAAATAGAAATAAAGTTTGACGAGACTAGGTGGCGTTTCTCCTCATGGTTTTGGAGGAGCTGGCGTGTAAGCCAGAGCACGCTCAAAAGGCTAAAGAAGCATGATTAAAAAGCATAGCTCAAAGCTATGACTAAAAAGACGCATGGCTAAAAGTGATGACTTGAAAGCACATGACTAAAAGCGACAAACTACAAGCTAGACGCAAAAAGCATGCTAAAAGCCATGACTAAAAAGCTGCATACTAAAAGCAAGATTTGATGGTGTCCTGAGTATTTAAACTGGGCTTTTGGACACATCCCAAATGGTGTTTTGACCAATTAGACACTGTCTTAGCTCGGGGTGTTGCTATATTCCTCCGCCCAATTCATAAATCAAATGTTATCTCATCAGTCTCATGGTCTGAGTTTTCCCGCTCTTGCAGAGTATAATTTTGGACATGATTTCTATAACAAGAATATGATAC